TGGTGAAACAAGGCCGCGATGATTAATTTCAACCTCCTATACCATCTACAATCTACTGTCGAGACCGGAAATTGCCGGTTTCGAACCGTATTGAAAATAGTACTTCGAAAAAGCAACTCTTATATTCTAGGAATCCTAACCGGGTACTTCGAGGAAGAAGCGGCAACGCGGTGCACCCATCGAGCGCTCGTATCGATCCGATATCGAACGGTAATTTATTGGGTCCGTGGGACGGTGGGTGGCCGCGCCGAAACCGCGCTGACAGTTGAAAAGTGTCTTTAGATCCTTATTGGATAACACCCATCCGGTAGCTTATTGGTCCGGACCGGGCACCAATTATTTATTGCCGCCGCTCCGCACCCGTTCATCCCGCGCTACACCAACTACCAGAAAAAACACTTTAGGTTGGAGTGGCGACGGCCATATTTATAGCAAAACCGGAGGAATCAACCCATTTCGAGGCAGGCTTTAAAAGTAAGTGTCCATTTGAGAGTATTACTCGCGCCAGAAACTCTCGATAGTAGTTCTCGCATGTCGATACACGTCTGCGACTACCCATCGGAGAATATTCATTTTACTATCAATAGTTTACTCGCAACGATTTGCTCTTAAGTGTATACAGTACGTCTGCTGGATCTGTGTCTATGAAAGGAATGCGGACAAAAAACATTTAAATAAACAGCAATATATTTTATACGTCGACTTGACGAGTACGTCACCGCAAATCGCTGCGTCCACTCATTTTATTGGCTACTTGCAAATTTGACGAATTTTTATTGATGGGACGCGTCGTCTAATTTTTTACGAAAAACATCGAGAGAATATCGTTTCCCCTCTTACGGATACCCCGTAGCTACAGCGGATAGTTACTTCTGAAATATGATTACGTTTCGTATTGTGATAGTTCTAGCAGAGAATTATTAATTTAAAATGGCAGTTACTCGCAAAGAGTGGTCAAAAGACGATACTTTAATAAATATATATTCATTTATTCATTCACTAACAAATTAAATGAAAAATTACAAAAATACAAACTGAATCAACACATACTAGAACTAACGGAAAGCTATTTAAAAATCGACCACATAAAATTTGCATGGAAAATATTGAAAGTAAAACTACCATGGCGCCATATGAGATACCGCAAGGAGGAAATCTACCCACTCTCCTGTATATCCTTTATACAAACGATTTCTGCGAACTAGCATTAAATCATTAAATGGCATATATGGATATGCCGTTGATACATGTTTAGTATATACAAGAGCAGATCAGAACATCCTTGAAACAAACATCAATATAGACCTGCAAAAAGTGCAAAAATGGTGCTACAACAATCTCCTAACCATAAACGAGCTAAAAACAGAATATATGATATTTAAAACCACAAAACAAAAATTAAACTTACAAATAAAACTACAAAACCATATTCTACGAGAAACATCAACAATCAACTATTTAGGGTTAAAAATACAAAATAATTTGAAATGGGATGCTCATGTAGTAAAGCTGAAAAATGAAAATATACGCACAATTGCAGCTTTAATAAAAATTCAAAAATTGATACCAAATAACATGAGGAAACCTTATATCACGCACTGTTTACCTCCAGGCTGAACTATTTAATGAATATATGGAGTAATACGACCGAAAAGAATTTAAACGCATTGCAACGTCAACAAAATAAAATTTCAAAATTAATATATACATTACACAAAACAACACCTACACACATATTATTATATAGCAAAGAAGGTAAAAAAAATGAAATTTATACAATTCAAAAAGAGGATTAAATGTTAATATTAAATAGAACCAAACACTAAATCCAGAAATCGACGACAGAAATAATTAAGAAAAGAATGCCTTCGATACCATCTGGCCAGGATCTGGTACCAACAGGTCACTGATGCGACAGATGAAAAAGGACGACACCCAGATCTTCTATGATATGTATATACTTTACATTATTTATGTGTTGTATATATGTTTTATATGAGGGAGTAACTAAATTGATTAAAAAAAACATAAAATACGTTAATACACAAAGAAAGACAGTTGATGAAACCGAAATCTCAAATGGATACCCTCCTGACAGATATGTATGAGAGTAAGCATTTGGAGAGTTTTTAGTTATCTAGCCTATAGCAAAAATTCTTTAAATCGCTCTGAAATGGATACTCTCTTTAGAGTGACTATCGAGAGTCACTCGCACGAATTACTCTCAAATGGACACTTACCTTAAGGTTTGCTTTAGCTGATGATATTGAAGAATACATAAAAAATGGTTTTAGGAAAGGCATGGGTACCAGAGATTCTTTATGCAGCCTTATATTAACTATGTAAGCTTGTGCCAATGAAGACCCTTTCATACAATATCCCACATGACACGGGGTAAAGATTTAGCTACAGAAGAAAAGGTTCATTCTATTGTTAAAATTTGCAAAATAAATTGGGCAGTAATGTTGATTCAAATTCGGATAGAGATGAAAACGATCTGTTCTATGAAATCGAACTTTTACCATTGTTTATTGAGACTGGCACAAGTTCATGAAACGAAAAACAGATTTTAATATTGTTATATCTCAGTTTTTATAAAATAAATAATAATTTGACAAAAAAAAATATTAAGTCTTCAAAAGGACGATATTTCAATACAGCAATTTAATAAAAATTACTAAGACTGGATTATTATTCAACTGATGGGCTCCAGAACTACCTAGCCAAAGGTATATTCCGCACCCTGGCTTCAAATAGCCTCGAACCGCCCCTGAGTCCAACATTCTAAATTAATTGAAATTTTGAAGAGAAATTTGAGCCCTATAATTCTCACTAAATTTATTCAAATAGTTAAAATTCAATTTCAATTATTTAATGTGTGTATTGGTTGAGCTTTATAGATAAAGCTGGAGACGTACGCTAAACACTAAAAATAAAAATGTTACGACATGACAGCGCGATGATGCGACTGTCCTCGTTACATCTTGAACGCCGCCGAACGTGAGCCAGGGTCAGCGTACTCTCTGGCCACGATTACGTCTCCCGTTCGCTGTTTTGGTCGGTGTGGGTGATGCGGTTTTTTAAACACATCTCGTTCGCGGTATAAAATAAAAAATATCGTAGAGCGTTGCCATGAGAGCAGCAGTAAAATAGAAATAATTTTGCAATCATCCTTCATCTTCATGGTCTCTGGTTCTATGGTGTGTTGAGAAAAATTACTATTGAAACTATTGCAAAATGACCTCCAAAGTGTATTTGAATATTAATACTAATTTAAAATTGTGTATTCGTCATTTTAGCAAAAATTTTAATAAAAGTGAACACTGGTTATGTGGTTGTAAGTCACTCGATAAGCTTTTTTGTGTGGGTGATGCGGTTTTTTAAACACACCTCGTTCGCGGTATAAAATAAAAAATATCGTAGAGCGTTGCCATGAGAGCAGCAGTAAAATAGAAATAATTTTGCAATCATCCTTCATCTTCATGGTCTCTGGTTCTATGGTGTGTTGAGAAAAATTACTATTGAAACTATTGCAAAATGACCTCCAAAGTGTATTTGAATATTAATACTAATTTAAAATTGTGTATTCGTCATTTTAGCAAAAATTTTCATAAAAGTGAACACTGGTTATGTGGTTGTAAGTCACTCGATAAGCTTTTTTGTTCGCTCTGTCTATTTTATCTAACAGAAACGTTCACAGCTTTGTTTTTTTACCTAAATTTAGTTCTTTTTAGCCGACCATACTAACAGGTATGGTAGGCGTTGGTATGGTAGCCTATTAAGATCGACACACTCAAAATGAGTTATTTGGTTATGACCCAAATACAAAATATTTTCATGATGCCTCTCTGTCCGTCTGTCTGTAACATGATAACTCAAAAATCGCTAAACCGATTTTAACCAAATTTGGCACAAAAATTCTGTGGCAGTGGCAGCCGAGAATCTGGCCATTATTTTTTGGTGGGGGTGGGGGGTTGGTAAGGGGGTATGGGAGGGGGTTAAAAATTTTAAAATATCGTAGCTCCAAAATTACAGTAGCTAGCGAAACGCGGTTTTCAATTTAAGATTAGGAATAATATTTGCAACAAAATTTGTAATAACATCAAAATCAGTCAAAGTTGCAGTTTTTGAGATAAAAAAAAAATTGGAAAAATGCCTTTACTTTGAAATTAAAAGAACTGCCTACCAACTTTTTATTAACATATTTTAGTATGGGCGGCTATACGTGCCTACCGGCGCCAATTTTTTTAGTTTGGTACCTATTGGTATGGTAGGCTATTAAGATCGGAAAAAAAAGTTTTTTTAATTTCACTCAAAATGAGTTATTTGGGTCATAAATGACCTAAATACAAAATATTTTCATGGTGTCTGTCTGTCTGCCTGTCCGTCTGTCCGTCTGTCTGTCAGTAGCTAGCGAAACGCGGTTTTCAAATTAAGATTAGGAATAATATTTGCAACAAAATTTGTAATAACATCAGAATCAGTCAAAGTCGCAGTTTTCGAGATATTAACATATTTTAGTATGGGCGGCTATATGTGCCTCCCGGCGCCAATTTTTTTAAATTGGTTTGATTATTTTTTTAACCAGTTATATTTTTATATATCATATTTTTGTAACTCAAAATTAAACTTTAATAAAAAAAAGAAAAACAAATATTGTGTAGGTAAAATGTTAATTGCAGTAACTTATTACATGCGTAAAACATTACAGGTAAGTCGTCTCTATACAGGTTACCTATACACGTAATTCAGATAATTGTAAAAATAAATATACCCTAGGCTAAAAGATAGAAGCCAAATATGCCAGTGTTAGGCCGAAGATGAAGATTTATCAGTATAATGGATGAAGATTTATCAGTAATTCATGGACAAAAGTTAAAGTTTTTGATAAATACTTTTTAACTCTGGATTATTTATTTATTTTTAACACATATGTATGTGCCAAATAATAATAGTAAGGTATAAAAATTATTCATATTTCTAGTATAAGATTACCTTACCTAACGTAGCTGCTGCCATCCTCATTGTCACTGGTAGTTCTCCACAGGGAGAATCTTCACTGGGGGGTTTCCTTTTCCGAGGCCTGCCTTTGTGACTCTGGGGAGGCGTCGTTGGAGCATAATAACCAGGAGAATCGGCCCCCGCAAAAAGGGGGCCGTCGTGAGGGTCGAAGGTATCCATCATCTCGTAGTGAGGTCGGTTAAAACAAAAACTGAAAGAGTTTAGAGAATTTTTTATCATTAATGCTTTAGCAGATTAAGTTGTATGAATTATAATTTTATTGATTTGAAATTAAATTAACAATTAAAGAAAGAATATCACTGGGAGGTAGTGCAATATTTGAGGTATTACTTTTTACTTTACCTGCAGTATATTAGGCCTTCCCTCATACCAAAGTGATCTCCTTTTGACAGAGGTATTCCACAAAGGTTGCAGGAAAAACAATGTAGGTGGTACACTAGATCTCTGGCTCTCATGACTAATTCGTTAGCGGATATTCCAGCGTGACATCGTCCACAACGTGTTACTGCGAACATTCTGGAAAAGAAATAAAATGGAAATAAAATTATGGATAGGTATGTACTGACTATTTTCTTTAAAGTTTTCACGGAATATAACGAATATCATAAATACTTCTTCTAATAAAAGAAAAGAAAAGAAAAGAAAAGGAAAGGAAAGGAAAGAAAAGAAAAGAAAAGAAAAGAAAAGAAAAGAAAAGAAAAGAAAAGAAAAGAAAAGAAAAGAAAAGAAAAGAAAAGAAAAGAAAAGAAAAGAAAAGAAAAGAAAAGAAAAGAAAAGAAAAGAAAAGAATGTAATTCTAAGATATTAAGTTTATACCGGATGATGCATCGTCTTTGGAAACATAGGAAATTGCATGCAACTCTTCAAGTGTTCAAATATTGGCGCCCCTATTAATTTTACAGCTAAGTCGTAAATAGTTTTTTTAAAGGTCTGTTTTTTTAATTAATTGATTATTTTTTAAAGGCTGCTGAATGCACATGCTGAATTTGAACAATTTTGGACAAGCTGACTTTAAGTAATTTAAAACTATTTATTATTAAAACTACATCTGTATTTAAATTAAAACTGAACAGGTAACAATGAAAAACTAGTCAAATGTCTACATACTTTAAGTTGTCAACCTATGATTTTTTTGATCACTACTACGTTATACGAGCCTTAACAACTATATGTTGGGACAAAGTCTTTTTTTGCAATAAAAATAGTAATTTGTTAAAACGACTCAATTTATTTTGTTTATTATTCTAAATTCAAACATTACAATATGATCTAGACAATTTTACTATATTTTTATAACTTTGCAAACAAATCACTTTTGATAATAGCTTATGTTGCCAAAATCAAGCCCAATTTGCTGACAACTATATATTGGGACAGCACAACAAGAAATTTGTTTAATACGGAGTTACATCACCTTTCGCCTTAACAACTTCCTGAACTCTTAATTGCATTGTATTTACCAAAGATTAGCACCATTTGAGGAGAAAAATTATCCCAAATTTCCTGCAATTTTGTCCGCAAATCAAAAATTGTTCGTTGAGGGTGGTTTCTTAAATATTGCTTCATTTTATGCCACACAGTTTCTATAACATTGAGGTCCGGACTACTTGCAGGATAGGATAGAACTTTTATATTATTATTTCCGAACCAATTTTTAGTTGATTTTGCTGAATGGCACGATGCTCCATCTTGTTGAAAAATATAGTCTTCGTTTGGAAACAATTCTTGAGCACTAGGCAAAAGTGAGGTCTCAAGTATATGTTGATATTTTTGGGCGTTAACAATGCCATCTATAAAATTTTTGGGCATTTAATTTGCCCAAACCTCTTGCTGACATGCAACCCCAAACTATAATACCCTTAGGAAATTTAACAACCCTCTTTAAGCAATCTTTATGAAAGGCTTCTGCTTTATTTCGTATTATTCTTTTTCGATGATCTCCAACGCAAACATCAAATTTAGACTCATCGCTAAATATGACTTTATTCCAGTCATTTTGTGTCCACGATAATTTAGATTTTGCCCAATTGTATCGATTTTTCTTTTGAATTTCTGTCAGTAGCGGTTTTTCTTTGATTATCCACACAAAATAAAGTTTACCTTGTAAAACCCTAGACCGCATTTATGGATATATTTTCGGCAACATTCTCTTGATATATTTAATCGAGTTACAGTATTCTATTTATATTAAATACCGTGGTTTTTGGAATAATTAAATCATTAGAAATTTTTCGAATTGTTTTTCCCGTACTGTATTGACGAATGATAATTTCGCGTAGTTTTTGATTTGTAGCTTTTCCACGAACCATTATTTTAGATTAAATTAACAAAATTGAAAATTAAAAAAATTAAAATTACTTACAGTAAGTCTCACTACTCAAAGTATCAAGTCACTTACAAGCTGTCAATGCTGAAGTAAACAGTTTGCGACATTTGTGACGTTTATAGCAAAGGCGCCTATGATATTAATTATTAAAAAAAATACTTGTCTCAACATTTAGTTGTCAGGCAAATTTGTCCTTTTATGAACAAAATCCGCTACTGTAAATATGGATTGATTTACAAATTCATAAAAATATTGTCAAGTTGTTTAGGATATATGGCTATGTTTAAATTTAAAAAATTAAACATATATTTTTCAGTCATTTTGAAAAACCAGGGCAATAATTCCAAAATATGACCTTATCCCAACATATAGTTGTTAGGGCTCGTAGTACCTATACGCTTAGTGTCCCCAAAATATATTTTTGTAATTTAAAACTGGATCGAATGAGGCAAAAGCCTAACGTTTAGAAAATAGAATTTGAGATTAAGACATTTATAAGATGACAACTTAAGGTACTTTACAATTTCCCTGGTTTTGTAGATTAATTTAAAAATAGATTCAATTTTTCTAAAATTACATAAAATCGGCTTTTCCAAAATTATTCAAATTTGGCATGTGTATTAAGCAAACACAGATCTTTTAAAAACCTATTTCAACTTTGCTGTAAAATTATCAGGGGAGCCAGTATGGACAGTTCAAAATTTGCATGGGATTTCTTTTTGTTTTTCTTCTTTCCTTTAAAATCAAATAAAAAATAAAAAAGTTATAAAGCATTAAAGAGGAGTCAAAAATTAGGGTAGCTAAATATTCTGCTGCGGATTATAGATTATAAGGTTTAAGTAGTTTAAACTATGGTATTTAAAATATGGGAATCCTAAACGATAATAGCATTGCTTTATTCAGATAATTCGAAGAAGAGTTAATAAAAAATCTACTACGAAATATAAATCGTTATACATTAGTTTTTGTTCCGAATCTCCCGAAAGCCATCTTTCTCCAAAAAACCTCCACCGGTATGCCCTAACAATGAATATTAATTCTCCACTAATTGGCGGTTTGTTGAGATTTTTGCACCCGCAAGAATGTTCGGCTTGTTTATTTTTTACTGTGCCAATCTGCTCTTCTTTTTCCTTCTCTCTCTTTCTCCTCCTGCTTCTTCTTTTCTTGCATCTCTCTCTGTTCTCCTCTCTAAGATTTAAGATTTTTCGGCGGATTCGGAGATTTCCGATTAATTAGGCACCGAAATGGATTTATGGCGATCTGGTTTTTATCTGGGCGAGAGTTATGGGCCTATTTTCGAACTACCACGGCATCTTTTTTATTTCTTGTTTCTTTGTCACTGTTATTTTTGTTTTGGAAACGACGCGAGATGTTAATTTCATTACGAAGCTATTTTCTAAATTCTGGGTTTCAATTGTTCAATCTCATTTTGTTTTGTATGGCTTGCTTGACTACAATTGTGTATACAGGATGTTTAAAAAAACATGTGCTTTCTCCCGTGGGGAGATTCCTCAAGTAAAAGTAAGATTTATTTTTCATATCAACATAGGGTCGATTCTGCTTTGTTTCGTAGCTACAGGGTGTTAAAGATTTATTATTTTTTCGATTTATTATAATTTTATTCCAAGTACTTTTAGCGTTCCGAATGAAATTTTGAGGGTAAAAGTTACTAGAAATGCGACATATTTTAAAGCTAAAAAAGTGTCGACATATTTACCAGGGACGTGCATATGGGTTATCACTGGAATATTTTTCTAAAAAAGGATGTACGCTACTGACTTTTTCTCTCTTGCTAGCGAAATAGTGTAAGAAGTTTAATGCTGATTAAAGATTGTCTCATGATGTTTTGTCGATTTCGACCTCCTTGATGAGATAAACGCAATTTTATTAATTTGCCTTGATCCAAGTCTAATAGCATCCTTTAAAAAAATTTCATATCATTAACTTGCAAAAGTTTTAAATAAGTACACATTGGTTCGTCATCAAAAAATATGAAAAAACGGTCCTATAAACATGGGTACGGAAATGCATATTAGTTTTAGAGTTCCAGGATGTTAAAACTTTTTAAAATTAGGTATTTTATAATTATTTAAATACCATTATTTTTTAATTTGAAATTGCTATAAGTTGTTCTAATAATAATAATAACTAATAGTAATAATATTTAATAATAAATTAGGTAATTTTATTAATAATTGTGATTAATAAAATTGCGTTTATCTCATGAAGGAGGCCGAATTCAACAAAATATCAAGCCGTAACTTTTAATTGACGTTAAACGGCCTAGACAATTTTGATGTCAAAAGAAAAAAGACAGTGGCGCACATGTTTTTTTTTAAAAAATATTCCAGTGATAATTCATATGCACGTCCCTGATGAATTTACAGACACTTTTTTAGCATTAAAATATGTAACACTTTTACCCTCAAAATTTCATTCGAATCACTAAAAGTACTCGGAAGAAAATTATAATAAATCGAAAGATTATTAAGATTTTAACACCCTGTAGCTACGAAACAAAGCAGAATCGGACCTATCTCGATATAAAAAATAAATTTTATTTTTAAGTGAGGAATCTACCCAAGAGAGATGGCACATATTTTTTGAAACACCCTGTATATTTCTGTTATATGATTAAAACGCTTACCCAATAACCTGACTAATTTATAGAAAAAAACCCCAGAAGGAACAAACTCCCCCTAGAGGGAACACTAAAGATATAATACATAATATAACTACAGAGTAATCAACAATGATTCAAATAAATCTTACAAACCAAACCTTAAATAATATGATTATTTTTTGACGATATTTAAATTTATTTTTCATAATAATGGGGAACGAATTAAAATGAAATGGGAAATAAATGAATTTTAACCTGAATATTTTCTATTTTAATTATTGTATTATAAAAGTGTATTGTTATTATAAAAATATAGCCTAGGTTGTGTGCTCGTAATATATGTTTATAACACATATTAAGGTATAATAAGAATTATAATTATATAAAATAAATTATATTATTCAAAAAAATATAGTATTATTCATATTGTATAGTTTCATTCAAAAAAAAACTATTGGTTAGAAGGTTCCAATATACAGTCAAATACAATTGAAATTAGTAGTAAGAAGTTCTACATATTTTTATAAATTTAAAAAGCAAAATCTACCTGTATATTATGGGATTATC